AAGGGCAAGGGATGGCCACAAGTCGAAGTTGTTATAGCCATGAGTCAGAATGTACTGAGAGAGCAGCGGACTGACCGGCTATGAGGGCTAGGGCGAGCAGCAGGAGTTGGGCAGGAGAGGCGCGCATCGACCCCATGATGATGATGACGGCGTGGATCCCGCGGGAGAGACGATGGAAGAGTGAAAGTGGCGCAAACAGAGGCGCACACAGAGGCGCACACAGAGGCGCAGACAGAGGCGCAAAGGCGGAATAGAGGAGCTGTGTGCTGTCACGTGGGAGTCACGTGGGAGTCACGTGGGAGTCATGTGGGAGTCACGTGGGAGTCAGGGGTGTTGAGTAATACTGATAGGGATGCGAAGAATAGTAGCGTTGCTTTCCAAAGCTGGAACTGAGACTTATGTTGCGAGTTATGTTGCGATCTTACGATCGAAATTCAGCATGGCAGCCGCCCCGCGCGCTTCGCGCGCTTCTTATGTTATTTCGCTTCATCACGAAATGTGCCACATGATATTATTGTAGGAGCGCTTCGGATCCAATGAGGCACATATAATTACAGAGCGCGCCGTTGGCTCTGCAGCCATCGGTCACATATAATTACAGGACCGCGATAGTCAAGATTCAGAGTCACTCGATAATAGTACGGGCTTGGATCGAGTGACTCTGAATCTTGAAAATACCGCAATGCGCGCGATGGTATTGACTGGCGGTGCTAGACTCGAGTGAATCGCAGGGACAAAATAATTGGAGGGGTGGTAATATAATGCGCCGTCATTAGCGAATCACAAATCAATGGCGCAACGTGGTGCCACCCTTCGCTTTTCCTTAGCAGCTTCCAATCAAGTTCAGCAGTGGGGCGATATGCGACGATGAGAAAAAAATATTGAGACCAACAGCCGAATTATATGGGTAAAAAAGGCGCAAAAACAATCACAGAAGTAGTAGCTAATCGGCTGACGGCTGGCCGTTCGATTGACATGTTCAAAAATTGCTTAGCCCGTCGGCGTTCTGCGTTCCAACTTGCAAATCTCGACCAGGCATTTCGCGAATAATCGTCATCCGAGTTTCGCACATCGCAGTGTTGTGTTGTGTTGTGTTACTCTAGGTGGGCAACACTGAAGGCAGAGCAAGGCAAGGTGATTCCAAGGCAAGTCCCTGAAATTAGAAAGCCTGGGTGGGAGGAGGAGGAGGAGGAGGAGGAGGAGGAGGAGGAGGAGGAGGAGGAGGAGGAGGAGGAGGAGGAGGAGGAGGAGGAGGAGGAGGAGGAGGAGGAGGCAGGCAGGCAGGTAGGCTGGCAGGCAAGCAGGCAGGCAGGGAGCGAGGGCAAAACGCGGGCAGGGAGGGAGGGAGGGAGGCGGGTGACTGACAGGTAAAGGATGTACTCGCCGTGCTCATCACAAAGCACGCCCACACGTGCGCTCTGAACTGCTCCCCACCTCTCTCTATCCCCTCTGAATCTCTCTCCCTGAATCCAAACGCGCTGCTAGCTGGTTGCCTGCTGCCAGCCTGCTGGTGAGCCATCAGTGTGTGCTGGGCAGCCCGCGTTGCTTGCTTGCTGCTGCTGCTGCTGCCGATGATGATGGTGCGTGGAAGAGGGCGAAAACCCTCGAACCTTCTCCTTTCGGTTCGACTCAAAGTCGGCCTGTGGCGCCTGCTGCTGCTGATGAGGCACGGCAGTGGGCGAGTCTCGCCTGCCGTTTCGTCCACAGGGATGTGCGGCCTCCTGCACTGCCTTGCTACAAGCTGCTTCGGTACTGCTGCAAGCAACACTATGACTACTGGAACCGCTGCGAACACTAGCACTGAGACAACTGCGGCTGGAACTCACATTGCCACTACTGACACCAGGACACCCTATGCGTCGCGCGCTCCCTTTTCTTCCGCTGCTGCCGCCTCCCACCTCTCCGCGCCCCTCTCCACCCATGCCAAGAGTGGTCTCTACTGCCTCTCCCTCGCTGCCCCTCTTCCCTGTGCCCCGGCTTCCCACGCCCTGTTCCCCAGGGGCGAGAATGAGAATCTGTTTGTATAAGGGAAAGGGGAGGGGGGAAGGATGTGGACAGGGAGTGAGATGGAGGAGGGCGTGAGGTGGAGCGGGGCGGTGGGGAGAGAGGGGAGAGGGAAGGAGGTAAGGGAGTTACTGTGACGCCGCCCGAATTGCAGTGATTGGGACGGCGCTACGGGCACAAACGTGCGGAGTTCTCAAGAATCCCGGATCATGAGAGGTGCGGGGTCGGTGAGGTGCAGAATGGGTAAGAATCCGAGATGGGTAAGGTGCGTGAGAGATGGGATGTTCAAGGCCCCGCAAAAGACGGCGAGGCAGGGCGGGCGGGCGACAAACGCTGAGGCGAACAACGAATTTTGAATCGTGCGCGAGGTGTCTCTAATCATACGCTTCTTGCGCTCGCATTCGCCATCGCATTCGAAGTCGCAAAAGCGCAAGTCGCACTCGCACCCACACTCGCACTCGCTATAAAAGTCCACCCGCTCACATTTGGGAATCTCCACTCCGGCGGCTCTGACCCTGTTCCCACTCTCCTCAGCAGCAGGACGTGTCGCCCCATGGAGTCTTTTGGTCGACGCAGCTGGGATGTTCATACGGCGCGGCTCGGGAAAAACCCCGCCCACGCCTGGGGATGTACGGGGCGCGGAGATATCGCGGGAAGCGTGGGCCGAAGTCGCCCACCCAGGATCAAACCAGGTTTGGACCTAGCGCGGCCCTGCGTGGCTCAGTGAAACCCACCAGGCTGCCACCGAAAGCTCCGCGCCCCCCGAAAAACCGAAAGAACCCATCTCGTTCTTACGCGCCGATGCATGCGCGACTCGGTAGAAAACGAATGCGATTGGTCGGTAACGTTGACAAGCGGGACATTCCGCGCATGCAACTACGCGTACGCAAAACCAAAGGACTGCTACTACTGGTTGTGCTATCTCGCAACTTATCGCGAACAAATTTCGCATAAGGATAGGTTCCGTAAGCGCACAGCGAGATTTGGTTCGGATACAGCTGGCGCGAACTGGTAGGCTCCATCCTGGCTGACACGTGCAGCAATTTGAACGAGCCACACAGCTGTCGCTGTTTGGTCGATGCGCGATCGCGGTAACGTGTCAAGCACGTCCACGCAGTGTCCGGTCATTGCTCCTAGCATGCCCACATTTTCGCATTACGATCGCCAGTTGCACATCAATCTCTTCCCTCTCATGAACCACTGGATTTACCTGACTTAGACGGACAACGGGACACCAGTATCGCGGTTACGCTGTGTGCCGCGCTCGAATGTCCGCGAGCACAACGGTCGCGATGTAGATGGGTCTAAGTCACACCCGGGTGTACATGTAGTGACCGCGCATCATGTTGACGCACGTGTTGAGAATAGAACGAGAATGAATGAACTATGAATGAAGTGAGTACAAATAGGAAACCCTAACTGGTTGTACCCCCTATGGGATACCCCACTACAGCCTACACAATAGTATAAGCTATATATATGTTCTGACACACCCCCATAGGCAAAGTGGGGGAGAACAAGGGGTCACAAGACCAGTCAAGCAAAGCAAAGCAAAGCTCAGGGTGGATCACAAAGTCACCACACAGTCCGAGCACAAGAGCAAGGCCAAAGGCCAGTTCACATGCAAGAGTACAGACATATATATAAAGCTAGACAAGCAAGAGCAGGTATATATATGTCACAGTACACGTAAAGTCAAGAGGAGAGCAAGTGAGGCAAGACAGGCTCAAGACCCAGCTGGGTGCAGAAGCGCTGATGGTCACAAGGCGCGAGTGCCTTGGTGAACACATCAGCAGTGTTGGCCTCAGAGGCCACGTACGCAAGCCGCAACTGTCCACGCTGCTGTAGCTCACGAGCAAGGAAGTAGCGAAGAGCAATGTGCTTCGTTCTGTGCTCCAGACGCTGCTCTCGACACAAGGCCAGCATGGCCTTGTTGTCTACGTACAGCACTGGAGGAGAACGAGGCGGCTCTCCAAGGTCAGACAGCAGGTAGGTGAGCCAGCGAAGCTGCTGTGCAGCCATGGCCCCTGCGTAGATCTCAGCCTCACAGCTGGAGCTGAGAACCGAAGACGAACGAGTAGCCCGCCACGAGACAGAGCCGGAACCAAGGCTGAAGGTGTAACCCTGTGACGACCGCTGCGTAGCCTGGTCGTCAGCCCAAGAAGCGTCCGCGTGACCTGTAAGGACCACTGGACTCCGCCCTCCAAGCACTAGCCGCATGCCCGACGTACTGCACAGGTAGCGCAATACCCTCTTCGCTGCAGCCATGTGCTATGGTCGGTGTCTCCCAGGAGCAACATAGCGTGCAAGAATGCTCAGAGGGTATGCAAGGTCAGGTCGTGTGCAGGTCATCAGGTACATGAGGCAGCCAACAAGCTCTGGGTACGGGCCACTCGACTCTACGGACTCATCCGAAGGCAGAGCTGAGAGTGAGTGGCGGGTAGACAGAGGAGTGGCCTGAGGCGAGGAGTACGTGAAGCCGAAGCGCTGAAGGACCTGCTGCACCATGTGTGACTGAGTCAAGGTAATGGTGCGGCGTGCTCTGTCCCGAGTGATCTGCAAGCCAAGGTAGCTGCGCAGTTCACCCAGGTCTGTGCACGTGTGTCTCTTCAGCAGCTCGGACTTCACGTAGGCGAGTCCAGCAGTGTCCGCTGTGGCAAAGACCAAGTCGTCGACGTACACGAGGATGTAGAACGGCGGCAGTGAAGTGTCGGTGCGCAGAAACAGCGACGGGTCAGCAGTAGAAGGAGCAAACCCAAGAGCCGCAAGCGTAGTCCTCAGTGTGTCGTGCCACTCACGCGGTGCCTGGCGGAGACCGTAGACTGGCCGTCGGAGGCTCCACTGGGTGCCAGGAGGGAAAGTCCCAGTGAAGCCAGTTGGACGGCGCAGCCAGATCTCCTCGTGCAGGCTACCCTGCAAGAACGCAGTGCTGAAGTCGAGAGAGTGAAGCTCGTAGTCGCGCTGAGCGGCTATGTGCAGCAGCACCCGAAGAGTGGTCATCTTCGGGGTGGGAGAGAAGGTCTGAAAGTAGTCAACTCCCTGCCGCTGACTGAAGCCACGAGCGACGTACCGCGCCTTGAAGACAGGTGGAGAGCCCGGCGGCCGCTTCACCCTGAAGATCCACATGCCACTGACGATGTTCGCCCCAGGAGGGGGAACCGCGTCAACGTAGGTGCCTGTGGACTTCCAGGAAGCCATCTGTGCATCCATAGCTGCCTGCCACTGAGAGGAGTAGGGACCCTCTACGGCCTCCGCGTAAGAGCGCGGAGTCGGGATGTCTAGTGCATCCGGGTCTCTCTCAGGAGCAAGCAGTACAGACGCGAGATGAGGTGAAGCAGCAGCCTGACACTGTAACTCCTCCTGCCTGTCCTCTAGGACGTCCGTGCCAAGAGCACACTCACCCCCAACGGACGGAGGACAGACAGACGCAGACTCAGTAACAAGAATAGCAGCGTAGTCTAGACGACAGCGAGCAGCAAAGTCGACGAGCTCAGCGACAAGAGCAGACGCAGCAGTGGACTCAAACGAGGGGTCAGTGACGACAGTGGCAAGCAGACGCGTGACAGTAGGACTGGCAGCACGAAGGGAGTCCGACTCAGGGTCGGCAAGCGCAGGAAGAGAGGACTTAGGAGGAGAAGGCAAAGGGGCACGCAGAGGAGCAGTGGACGGACGCAGAGACATCCGGTGCGTGCCAGGGACAGGAGGAGGACGCTGACGCGAACCGCGACCACTAGCGCGAGCAGCACGAACAGGCGACGCGGGACGAGACGCAGGCTCACGACGCTCAGCAAGACCTCCAGTAGGACCAGTGTAAGGAGAGGGAGCAGGTAGAGGGGAGGAAGGCTCCAACAGTGACTGCAACTGGACAGGGTGTGGACACTCTACCGGAGGAGAAAGACCAAGAACCTGCTGCAGGAGCGGAACGAAGTACGGTCGAGGCCGCGCGGCAGCTCCAGACTAGCAGGGACAGCACCAGCACCCTTAGCGGCAGCACCAGCGCCACCAACACCTCCAGCGGCTGGACCTCCAGTAGCACAAGCAGGAGAACCACCGCGAGGAGAAACAGCAGTAGTCTCAGCACCAACACCCTCAGCAGCCCCAGCTCCAGTAGGACCCGCAGGCCCAGCAGCTCCGGGACCGGCGGCACCAGCACCCTCGACGGTCGAAGAAGCTCCAGCTCTAGCAGCACGCCTCCAGCGGCGAGCAAACCACTCGCGCAGCTCCTGTGTAGAGAGGGGCTCCCGCCGAGACGCAGCACCAGGAGAAACCCCAGGCTCAGCAGCCCCAGACGCAGCACCCCCAGGCCCAGTAGCTCCAGACGCAGCACCCCCTAGCTCAGCAGCTCCAGGCACAGCACCCCCCGGCTCAGCACTCCCAGGCTCAGCACCCTCCGCAGTAGCACCCCCAGGCTCGGCACCCCCGCGCACAGCACCCCCAGAGTCAGCACCCCCAGGCCCAGCACCCTCCGCAGTAGCACCCCCAGGCTCGGCACCCCCGCGCACAGCACCCCCAGAGTCAGCACCCCCAGGCTCAGCACCCGCAGCAGCACCAGAGTCACCAGTAACCTCGACCGGGTCAACTGCGTCTACCTGGGACACACCTGAGGGGGCAGGAACCTGAGGGGGGGGGGGGGTCTACCGGGGGGGGAACCGGCACAAGGAAGTCCGGTGGTGGGGGAAGTGAAGGAGTGCGGTAGGGGAAGAGGCGGTAGAAGGGGACTGACTCGTCGAACGTGACGTCCTGGGAGGACAGAACACGACGAGAGGAGGGGTGGTAGAACTGCCACCCTGGAGCGTCAGGGGGGAAGCCAAGGAAGACACAGGGAGCAGCACGAGGGGACAGCTTGTCCGCAGACAAGTCGCGGACAAACGCCTGAGATCCCCAGACACGGAACGCAGACGCATCGCCGACCTTCCCCGTCCACAGTAACACTGGGGACATCGCGGGCCGAGAGACCCTGGGGTGAAGGTTGAGCTGATGCGCCGCGTACCTCACCGCAAAACGGCCACAGAAAATGGGGGGCAGCCGCATGCATCATGGACGTACGAGCGACATCCATGACCATGCCAATGCGGCGCTCAGCAATCCCATTTTGCTGTGGAGAGTTCGGAAGCGTGAAGGTCTAGCGGATCCCCCGTGCACGTCAGTAGTCTCGCAGAAGGCGAGAGGAGAACTCCCCGCCTCTGTCCGAGTGCAGACGCAGAACAGGAAAGTCCGAGCCGAAGCTCCTCCTGAGCTGGAGACGAGCCTCGCGGATCCAGTCGATCAGCACCTCAGTGACAGCACCCTTGCTGCGCAAGGGGAGGACTGTGGTGTAACGCGAGTAGTCGTCAACAACCAACAGGAAGTAGCGCTCGTGACCCTGCCCTCGGACGGGGGCTGGGCCCCACACGTCCATGTGAAGCGTCTGCAGAGGAGCCTCTGTCAGGGGGAACTGGGAGGAGTGAGGAGCAGCCCGGAGGCGCCCCTCGACACAGGGGACACAGGAAGGTCCTGGCCCGGAAGGAAGGGGAGGGAGAGACTGGGGAAGACCAGAGACAAGGACACGGGAAGCCATGCTCCGAAGACGGGGCAAGGAGGGGTGGCCCAGACGGTGGTGCCACAGGAGAGTCTCGTGAGACAGGAGGCGACACGAACAGGGGGCAGACTCAGGACCTGACCGGGACGCAGCAGCAAACACCTGACCTGACGCAGCTTCCTGACCAGACGCAGGGACAGGAGGAGACGTAGTGGTCAGGGTGTAGAGGCTCGACCCCGGCCGACGCGAGAACGTGGCCAGGTGCCGGCCTGTGCGTGCGTCCGTGCAGTGGGTCACCCGCTGACTCGCAGGAGTGAACTGGTGAACCCCCGCATCCTGTAGGTCCGCACCACTCACCAAGTTCGTCGAAAACGAGGGAAGGTACAGACCAGACAGGGTGCCCGAGGGGGCAGCCGGACACGGGAGGACAGTGGAGAAGTGAGAGAGGACAGGACCCCCAGAGGGGTCAGCCAGGGAGACCGCAACCGGCCGGCCAAGCGGCGTGAGGGTGGTGCGGTCTCGAAAGAAGGAGCAAGAAGCCCCGGAGTCAAGTGTGAAAGTGAGGGAGGACGAAGGCGACGCAGTACCTGAGAGCGCAGTCTCACCAGCACCTGAGAGCGCAGACGCACTGGCACCTAGAGCAGCAGCCTCACAAGCACCTAGCGCAGCAGTACCAATGCCCGGGTCGGGCGGGAAACACCGGTAACAGTCACCCTCCTCACTAATAGTCACAGCATACATAGCAGCAAGGATAGCATCAAAATCAAGATCAAAGATCGCTACACCAGCCCTAAGAAGCTCATCCCAGCGAGGGATCTCACTAGCCCCGGGGAACTGCTGACGCCAAGCGTCCGTCAGGCGGCCAAAGCAGCGCTGGGTGGCGTGGGCACCCCCACACTGCTCACCCGCGCGGTCGCCAGAGCGAAGGACGTAGGTACAAGGACCAGTACCCCCACCCCTCTGACGTCGAGTGTACCACTCACGGAGCTGCTGGGGCGGAGGGATGTCGCGCGAACGCTGCTGCTGCTGCTGCTGCGAGCGCTGATCACCACCACCGCCGCTCCGCTGCTGGGTACCGCCCCGACCAGCTCCACCTCCTCCGCCAACACCGCCTCCTCCGCCGCCGCCTCCCCCACCGTCACCGCCACCACTGCCGCCACCACCACCGCTGCCGCCACCACCGCCGCCTCCTCCGCCGCTGCCACCACTACCACCACCACCCCCTCCACCACTCCCGCCGCCACCCCCACTCCCTCCGCCGCCTCCACCGCCACCTCCACCGCCCCCTCCAGCTCCACCCGCGCCCTTGCCCCCCTTGCCCTTGCCAGAGCGGCGTCTCCCACTAGGGGCAGACGCCGCGCCAACCGACTCGAGACCAAGCAGGTCGGCAGCAGCAGCAGAGGCAATAGAGGGCAGGAGGGGGGAAGGAGAGCACCCCTCAAAGATGGGGGTGCGAGGGTCACCACGAGAAGCTCCTACAGCGACGATGCTCTTCTCCGCCGCGAGGAGGGCCTTCTCGAGGATGTCGACGGTGAGGGTGGTGGGACAGACCGCGAGAAAGTGGTCCCTGACTACGCGAAGAGAGTCAGGGAGGCGCGCGACTACGTAGTAGAGAGTGATGTACATGGAGGGGGGGTTCTTGGCGCAGAACTCAGCAGGTTGGGCGGCGCGGTAGCGAGTGTCACTAGTGCGGAGGTGCGTAATGAGGTCAGCGACAGTGGGAAAGGCAGAGAGGTCAGGAAAGAGGTAGGGAAGCATGAGACGGCTCAGTGCAGCAGTGGCAGGGGAGGAGTAGCGCGCGACTACAGCGTCGTACAAGGTCTGAGCACTCTTGTACTGACTAAAGTGCGCGCGCTCAGAGGTAGGGAGGTGGCGACGCACAACAAGACGTGCAGTAGCATCGCGGGTGGCCCAGTGAGAACGCACAGTGGGATCAGCATCAGCAGCAGGGGCAGGAGAGGCACCAGAAGTGAGGTCAAAGAGAGAAAGGCCGTCTGCTCTGTCGCACTGTAAGAACAGCTGCAGGTCGTCGACCCAGACCTCAAAGTCAATGGCGCGACCCTCAGCGTCAAAAGCTAGGACACTAGGGGTAGCCATGACAGCAGTAGAAGGTCTCACCAGACAGGACGGGTCGGGCAGCGCAGTAGCACAGCAGTACAGCAACACAGCAGCTCAACCGGCTCAGCAGCAACAGCAGCTCCGCAGGACCAGCGGCTCGGCTCCTCAGGCGGTGCAGGCGGCTCGGGCGGCTCGGGCGGCTCGGGCGGCTCGGGCGGCTCGGGCGGCTCGGGCGGCTCGGGCGGCGCGGGCGGCTCGGGCGGCTCGGGCTGTCAGCGACACAGGGCGGCCCGGGGCTGGGACGGGCGGCGCGCGGGCGATCAGGGGCCGGGACGGGCGGCGCGCGGGCGTCGAGAGGCCGGGACGGGCGGCCAGCGGGCGGCTAGGGGCCGGGGCGGCGGCGCGCGGGCGTCGAGGGGCCGGGACGGGCGGCTAGCGGGCGGCTAGGGGCCGGGACGGCGGCGCGCTGGCGTCGAGGGGCCGGGACGGGCGGCCAGCGGGCGGCTAGGGGCCGGGACGGGCGGCCAGCAGGCGGCTAGGGGCCGGGACGGGCGGCGCGCGGGCGTCAAGGGGCCGGGACGGGCGGCCAGCGGGCGGCTAGGGGCCGGGACACGCGGCGCGCGGGCGATCAGGGGCCGGGACGGGCGGCGCGCGGGCGTCGAGAGGCCGGGACGGGCGGCCAGCGGGCGGCTAGGGGCCGGGACGGCGGCGCGCGGGCGGCGAGGGGCCGGGACGGGCGGCCAGCGGGCGGCTAGGGGCCGGGAGAGGCGGCGCGCGGGCGGCTAAGGGCCGGGACGGGCGGCGCGTGGGCGGCTAGGGGCCTGAACGGGCGCGCGCGGGCGGCTAAGGGCCTGAACGGGCGCGCGCGGGCGGCTAGGGGCCTGAACGGGCGGCACGTGGGCGGCTAGGGGCCGGGACGGGCGGCGCGTGGGCGGCTAGGGGCCTGAACGGGCGCGCGCGGGTGGCTAGGGGCCGCAGGGCAGGCCGAAAAAAAAAAAAAAAGTGAAAGCGAGGGCCCGGAGCGCGCTCCGGGCAGAGAAAAAAAAGTTTAAAGGTGGTGGGCCCTAAGCACAGTTCCAACGGGGGAACCTGCTCGATACCATGTTGAGAATAGAACGAGAATGAATGAACTATGAATAAAGTGAGTACAAATAGGAAACCCTAACTGGTTGTACTCCCTATGGGATACCCCACTACAGCCTACACAATAGTATAAGCTATATATATGTTCTGACAGCACGCAGTGAATAGGAGTAGGGGCAATCTCGCATGCTGCATGCATACCGTGAATCGCGTTGCGGCGCCCATACTTCACGACTCCATCAATGCTCCGGGCAACACAACCGCGCAGCAAATCCATAATGCCGAACCGCCTACCGCTCTCGTGCATGGGGTGAACGCGCTCAACCCCACATGGAGCACCCCATACGTGCAGCCCGTGGTTTTTGGGTCGCGGATGCCCGCGTTCCACCCACAGCAACTGGTCAACGGGCTCCACCTAGCACCGCGGCCACAAATACCATTTGCGGCAGCGACGGCCGCGTTTCAAAATCAACAGGATGATGTTACCACGCAAGGAGTATTCACGCCTCATCTTGGACCACATGTTGTTGGACAACACATCGCGTCCCCGTCAGTGCCCACTAGCCAGCTCTTTGGGATGCCTGTGCGTGACTTTGTAGGGCCGCAGTACGCAAACGTGGGATTCAGGTACGGGTACATCGGCGTTCAACCAGACCCCATGGTGCACGCACCCGCATCTGTCGCGACGCCTCCTGTCGCGCCGTCAACACCGTTCCCCAGCGCGATCCATCCGGAAAGCCAGCCAACGGTGCAAGCCCCGCCAGACCCTAGCGAAGCATTGGTTGTCGGTTTGGACACCTCTAACAGCAGTCTCGGCTACAATTTATCCAAAACTGCACCTTGTATAGAAACATCATACGCCGAACGTTGGTATATCATTGCAATTGGCTTCTTCATTTGGCACTCACTGACTTCGAGATACAGTTGTCAGAATATTATTCTTATGTTCTAGCCTGTAGTGGGGTGCTCTATAACGAGTACAACCCTTCTAGGGTTTGCTATTTGTATCCCCATTTCTGCTAGTTCATTCCTCTTTCTTTCTTCTAACTTTTGTCATGCTATCAGAGCAGGTCGATCCCTTTGGATCGATCCTGTGGGTGGGTTACCACCTCGCTTCCGCTGCTACCTTTCCCTTCCCGCCGTGCGCCCCGAGGCGCGCGGCGGTTTTCTGCCCGCCGTGCGCCCCGAGGCGCGCGGCGGTTCATTGCCCGCTGTGCGCCCCGAGGCGCGCGGCGGGCTTCTCCCCTACGTCGCGGCCCCGCCCCGATCGTCGCGGCCCCGCCCCTCGACGCGGCCCCGCTCTACGTCGCGGCCCCGCCCTGGCCCGTCGCCGCCCGTGCGCCTGCCCGGCTCGGCCCCGCCCTTCGTCGCGGCCCCGCCCCGGCCCGTCGCCGCCCGTGCGCCTGCCCGGCTCGGCCTCGCCCTACGTCGCGGCCCCGCCCCGCTCGTCGCGGCCCCGCCCCTTGTCGCGGCCCCACCCTCCAACCAGGCCCGTTTTGGGCCCCTTTCACCACACCGCCTCCCCCCCCCCCCCCCCCTGCCATTTAGGGGCGAGCTGTGGGGTGGCGGGTATGGGGGTGGCCGGTGTGCCTTCCTCCCTTTCTCCTCCTCCTCCTTCGTCTCCCACTGCTGCAGCTGTCGCTGAGGGGGGTGGTTATGTGGGAGACTGGGTTTAGGGTTTAAGGGGGGTGCGTGGGAGTGGAGCTAGCGGTGTAGCAGTGGGTGTGTATGAGGGGGGTGGGACTGTGTGTGGGAGGTTGAGCGGAGGTTGCCAGTTTGTCGTCCGCAGCACCTGTAGTCCGGGGCGCTGTCCCGGTAGCCCAGTGAGCTTGTCGCTGAGCCGGTCGCCTGTGGGTCCGTTGCCCGTCTGCCGCTACTTGAGCCGCGGGGCCTGTTACTCCCGTAGTCCGGGGCGCTGTCCCGGTAGCCACTGTGCTCGCCACTCCTGTTGCCCGTGTGTCTGCAGCTTCAGCCGCCGCCTTCTATCTCCTCTCCTCTCACTCTCCCTCCTCCTCCTCACTTGCCCGTTGTGACCACTGCTAGCTTTGCTCATAATTGTTAACTTTGAACTATTTCTTCTTGACCTTGTGCTCAGAATGCGTGGTGACATTGTGATCCACCCTGAGCCAGTACTGTTTTGCCTGCTCTGCTAATTACACCCCACTTTGGCTATGGGGGTGTGTCAGAATATTATTCTTATGTTCTAGCCTGTAGTGGGGTGCTCTATAGCGAGTACAACCCTTCTAGGGTTTGCTATTTGTATCCCCATTTCTGCTAGTTCATTCCTCTTTCTTCCTTCTAATTTTGTCAACAGTATCACTAGCTTGGAAGCACGAACACATGTCATAATCTTAATTAATATATGCGTGATTATTAACAAACAAAATGGAAAGAAACGGGGGCTAACATTTCGAAAAACCAGCCTGATTATAACTTCCAGAGAACTTGCAATATTACAAGTCTGAGCCATCACAAAGTGCAGTTACAACTATTGATACTAAACACATACAACCCCCCACCCACCCTCCCCCCCCCCCCTTCCCTCACCCCCAACTAAAAATCCCAAACAAGCAACTCTCTGAGGCATGTAACAATGAAATGCAACCTGGCTGGTTCTTAGCTGGGTCGCCATAAGCGCAAGCTGACTCAAAAGTCTCATTCTGGCGCCATTCTGAGTCGACTCAATATTCTGCAGCAGAGGCGAGGAGAATGGGGCAACAGACGAAGATATGAATGCTTATAGTCGCCATAAGGGCATCGGAACGACATAGGCAATGTGTGCTTGACAGCGAAAAGGGACTGAGATACGGCAAAAGGCAAGATGACGTTGCTGTGGATAGCGACAGAGACATAGGCGTCAAAAGGACGTAGGCAGCAGAAAGAGGTGGGCGTCGGAAGGACGTAGGCAGTATGGGCATGACAGGGGCAAGAGGGCGTTGCGATGAGCTGAGACACGCCAAAAGGAAAATCTCCCTTCAGAGGAAGCCAAATGATGAAGTGGTGTTTTGAGCCGTCTCAAAACAGTGTGTGCATGACAGAGACAGAGGCAAGAGGGCATTGCGGTGGACTGAGGCATGCCGCGAGGCAGGAAATGGGAACGTTGCATGGCAGAGGCAGAGGCAAGAGGCATGGTCAGTGGATTGAGACATGCCAAAAGGGAAATCGCCCTTCGGAGGAAGCCAGAGTGAATCAAGCCCTTCACTATCATGCCCTTCACAATCACGAACTTCACAATCACGCCCTTCACAATCATGTCCTCTGAACCTACCATTGGTGGTGCCGGTGCTGCCAGTGGTGCCGCCAGTGGTGGTGCTGCCGACGGTGATGATGCCACTGCTGCCAGTGCTGCCAGTCCTGGCGGTGCTGCCACTGCTGCTAGTGCTGCCACTAAAGCCACCGCTTCCAGTGGTGGTGCTGGTGCCGTCAGCAGGGGTGTCAGCAGAGGTGTCAGCAGGGGTATCAGCAGGCGTATCAGCAGGGATATCAGCAGGGATATTAGCAGGGGTATCAGCAGGGGTGTCAGCGGGAGTTTTGTCAGCAGGGGTGCTGCCAGCGGTGGTGCTGCCGGTGGTGCTGATCGGAATCCGGCGCGCATTGACCTTCCTGCTTGCTAGCTCCACCTCTGCGCCTTCCCCATACGCGCCTTTCAGCATAGTTCACAACATACTAAGGTGTGTCATGATGCTTTTCACCGAGTCGTCGCCATTCGCTGCCTGCATCATCTGAGCTGCTATAGAGGACAAGGGAGAGGGTGTGCGGTGAGGAGAGAGCGGATATGAGAGAGCGGATATTAGAGCACAGATGTGAGAGTAGAACGGAGAAAGAAGAGCACCGCGAAAAAGGGAGGTGCGAAAAAATACTTAAAAGTATATGTACCGTAACTTTTGGGTTGCATTTTCCCCGCAATAAAAAAGTCTAACTCGTAAACAGTGGTAGCGTCAGTCACTTGCGAAGTG